ACCTGGCCACACCTCCGGGATCCCTCAACAACTCCGCCTCCTCGCCGCTGATTGGCCACCGGAACGGTAGCTCAGGAGAGGCACACAGGCGGCCAATCACCGGCGAGGAGGTGGAGCTTGGAGAGGAGGAGCCGAGCGGCAGCGCGCGTAGATCTAAGAAGATCGAGGGAACTGCCGGAGTAAGTGAAGAGGAGAGCGGCCAGAGAAGGAAGACAGCTAACAGGTAAGTGAGAGAGCGAGCCCAGGCTGGAGCAGGGGTCAGCAAGGTAAGTATCATTGGTGTCAGTGGGAGGAATAGTGCCCCATCATTTGTGTGACTAATACCAACAATGGGGCACTATTTCTCCCCCCACCCCCGCACTGACACCAATGATGGGGCACTATTCCTCCCCCCACTGACACCAACGATGGGGCACTATTCCTCCCCCCCACTGACACCAACGATGGGGCACTATTCCTCCCCCCACCGACACCAAGAATGGGGCACTATATCCCCCCCCCCCACTGACACCAATGATGGGGCACTATTCCCCCCGACCCCAAAGATGGGGCACTATTTCCCCCTCCACCACAGTGACATCAATGATGGGGCACTATTCCTCCCACTGACACCAATGATGGGGCACTATTCCCCCCACTGACACCAATGATGGGGCACTATTCCCCCCACTGACACCAATGATGGGGCACTATTCCCCCCACTGACACCAATGATGGGGCACTATTCCCCCCACTGACACCAATGATGGGGCACTATTCCCCCCACTGACACCAATGATGGGGCACTATTCCCCCCACTGACACCAATGATGGGGCACTATTCCCCCCACTGACACCAATGATGGGGCACTATTCCCCCCACTGACACCAATGATGGGGCACTATTCCCCCCACTGACACCAATGATGGGGCACTATTCCCCCCACTGACACCAATGATGGGGCACTATTCCCCCCACTGACACCAATGATGGGGCACTATTCCCCCCACTGACACCAATGATGGGGCACTATTCCCCCCACTGACACCAATGATGGGGCACTATTCCCCCACTGACACCAATGATGGGGCTCTATTCCCCCCCACTGACACCAATGATGGGGCTCTATTCCCCCCACTGACACCAATGATGGGGCACTATTCCCCCCACTGACACCAATGATGGGGCACTATTCCCCCCACTGACACCAATGATGGGGCACTATTCCCCCCACTGACACCAATGATGGGGCACTATTCCTCCCACTGACACCAATGATGGGGCACTATTCCTCCCACTGACACCAATGATGGGGCACTATTCCTCCCACTGACACCAATGATGGGGCACTATTCCTCCCACTGACACCAATGATGGGGCACTATTCCTCCCACTGACACCAATGATGGGGCACTATTCCTCCCACTGACACCAATGATGGGGCACTATTCCTCCCACTGACACCAATGATGGGGCACTATTCCTCCCACTGACACCAATGATGGGGCACTATTCCTCCCACTGACACCAATGATGGGGCACTATTCCTCCCACTGACACCAATGATGGGGCACTATTCCCCCCACTGACACCAATGATGGGGCACTATTCCCCCCACTGACACCAATGATGGGGCACTATTCCCCCACTGACACCAATGTTGGGGCACTATTCCCCCCACTGACACCAATGATGGGGCTCTATTCCTCCCACTGACACCAATGATGGGGCACTATTCCTCCCACTGACACCAATGATGGGGCACTATTCCCCCCACTGACACCAATGATGGGGCACTATTCCCCCCACTGACACCAATGATGGGGCACTATTCCCCCCACTGACACCAATGTTGGGGCACTATTCCCCCCACTGACACCAATGATGGGGCTCTATTCCTCCCACTGACACCAACGATGGGGCACTATTCCTCCCACTGACATCAACGATGGGGCACTATTCCTCCCACTGACACCAACGATGGGGCACTATTCCTCCCACTGACACCAACGATGGGGCACTATTCCTCCCACTGACATCAGTGATGGGGCACTACTCCTTCCACTGACACCAATGATGTGGCACTAGTCCTCCCACTGCAAAATTACAGTTATGAAGTAGCAACGAAAATAATTTTATGGTTGGGGGTCACCACAACATGAGGAACTGTATTAAGGGGTCGCGGCATTAGAAAGGTTGAGAACCACTGGTATAGAGGCACAGGGTATGGGATAAGATGTGAAATGTCCTTTAGATTCATTGTTGTAATAAGGGATAATGAAAATGAGTGTGGGCGGCGGTTTCCAGCTTCCAAGATGGCGGTTAGTGGTGCCGTTAATGTAGGAAGGGCGGTACATAAGGAGTCGATGCGCAGACGTCCTTACCCTTCTGAAAAAGTCATAGGAAGTGACGAAACGCGTCAGACCACGTGACGTCAGACGTATCGACGCTGACCGGAAGTGCGATCGCGGCCATCTTGGAAGTGGGAACATGCGGCTAATGTTTCCCTAAACTTGTCTTTATCTGTATCCCTGTGAGGAGGAGCTGCTTCACCCATATTTTAATGTAAGTTGCCAAATAAAGGAAGACTGTGTTTTATCTACTATCGGTAATTGTGAATTTTCTCATGAGGGAAATGGAGGAATAATCCTAGGATTGGAGGAAGCCTGAAATCTGAATGATGAGATAGTAACCCAGAGTGGTGTGATGCCCTATCTTTTCCTACATAGGGTAATTATCCATCAGCACATGAGGTGGAGATTGCTGGTTTGGGTCTAAGGTGTACACTTATGTATACCAAGTGTGGAGTGACATTTTTAGTTTCACTTATGTTTGCAGCTGACACTTTATGTGAGTGTCTTTCATTGATATATTTCTGCATGTATATTGATACTCACTTATAGAGTATACACGTGTATATAGATTTTGCATGTTGCACAGAGAGTGGCACGTGTGTTTTATTATTTAAAAAGGTATGACACTATGTTAAGTTTTTTTTTCCTTTGAGGTTTATTGTCATCAGGATTTGCAAGTTTGAAGAAGAAAGAATTTAATGACTTACATGTGTGGAGATTTATTTTGATAATTGAGACATTTGGGACACGATTTTGATATTTTGGACACTTTTTGTAAGGTGGGATTGGTGGATATATTTATTATTTGGGTAAAAAAAGAAAAGTTTTATAATTTTTGTTTTGTCCCCCTAGACCAGCCTTTCTCAACCAGGGTGCCCAGGCGCCCCGGGGTGCCTTGAGGTTTCTTCAAGGGTGCCTTGGCAAAATTTATAAAAATTGCCCAAAACTTGTATACAAGCCAGTGGGTGGAAAAAAGCCTGCCTTTTAGTTACACAAAGCCACAGGTTTTCATTGTGAACCATTACAACCTTCTAGCTACCGGATTCCTTACAACCAATGACATCATCAGTTGATAAAGACGATGTCAGTTGCCTGCACAGCATCCTAGTTTGACCCTCCCATGCTCCTCTCCATCAGTGCTGGGGTCACATCAGCTCAGTGATTTAGAAAAAACTGAGGGAGAAGAGAAACACTGGAATACTACTCAGTACCAATGTGCAAAAGCGTATTTGATTTGGAAGAATAAATCACCTCTAATGTTGGATGTCCTACATGTGTGTGGATGTTGCTGCTTTATATAAAACTATTAGGATAGTTTTTCACATTTTAGAATGGGATGCCTCAAGACTGTCCATAATTTTAAAAGGGTGCCTCTGCACTATCCATAATTTTAAATGGTGCCTCAAGTCTGTCCATGATTTTAAAGGGTTCCTCGGGACTGTCCATAATTTTAAAGGGTGCCTCAAGTCTGTCCATGATTTTAAAGGGTGCCTCGGGACTGTCCATATTTTTAAAGGGTGCCTTGAATGAATAAAGTTTGAGAAACACTGGTCTAGACTGCTCTCCTGATTTGGACTACAATCACTTTCCCTCTTTTCTCATCTCTGTTACATAGAGAGGTGCCCTGACAGTTTATAGAAGATAACTGAGAGGGCTGATAAGATGGTTTAACATTTCAGTTCAGTGCACAAAAAGTTTTAAAGAAAGATATTTTAGACAAGATCAACAAGTAGTTTTTTTTGTACTTGCAAAAAGCCTGAAAAAAAAAAAAACACAAATGCATCTACCACATTTAAGGACAGATAAGCTGCAACATATTACATTCTTGTTCTTGGCTTAGATACACTTAAATAGGAGCTGTGAAATGTATTATATATAAGGGGCTCTAAGAGTTCAGACTCAATCATAATTGTCTCCCTCATCTGCTGAAAAGTAACACTGCAACAGAACAAAACCTGCCCCTGACCACTTCTTAACTGTGCATCTGTATGGATTGAAAATTTGTCTCATCTTTTGTGTTAAGACCCTGGCCTATGCACATCTGTCTCATTTGTTTCCCAGGATTCAAAAATCAGAAGTTGCAAATGCACAGAAAAAACTGTTGCCAGAGGGGGCAGCAAAAATGGCCATCTTGGACAGCATGTACCCCCAGCATGGCCCTGTTCTCATGAAATCCTTTACCATGGCAACATTCCACCATTTCCCCAGACTATTTTCCGGATAATGGTTGTAAATGCTACAGGTTTTTTACCCTAATTAATTCTCTGTATTAAGGTAAAAAAAAAACAAAACTTATGTACAGCTTCCCGATAAACAGTTACCTGGGCATGATCTCGATCCAGCACTCAAGAGCAGTGGTGCTGATCTCGCTTTCCTTCCTCACTGGACTCAGTGAGAGCAGCAGGATCCATTGACTCTGGCTGCTGGCAATCAAATCCAGTGGCAAGGAAGTAGGGACGGGTCCAAGCTACACTGTGTGTTTCAATAGACACACATACACACACAATGCTGCTTGGGACTGAGTCTGCACATGTGCCACCATAGGAAGCGGCTTCCTATGGTGGAGCATGGAGAAGAGAAGGAGCCCAGAGCACCGGAGGGGGACCCTAGAAGAGAAGGATTGGAGCCACTCTTTAAGTATAATATGTAATTTAAAAAATAAACCTTTACAATCGCCTAAAATAAAGATCTGTAAATTTAATCAAAGCTTCACTTACCAAATATTCCAGGGTGCGGCCAACGTCCAGAATGGATTTCACTCCAGCACATATCACGGCTACTGGTGTCCTCCCGAGTTCAGTCAAGTCTGCGCTAACATCCATGGCTGAAACAAATAGGGGATTACACTGATGCAGAACTATGGATAAAAAACATCTTGTACTACATTAAAAATGTACTGTATTTGTAAATAGAGCTACAAATGTATACATTTTACTATAAACACACATGAACATTTTAGCTTCCAATAAATGCCTGGCTGACAGTTTTTTAAGATGCTGATAAGAACATCTATAAAGATGAGCAAAATAAACGTCTTTCATTTTGTTTTCCCTTTTCCCCTAACTCCCCGTTGACAGACATTTTTTTGAGCTTAAAAAAACAAAAAATGGAAACTTGTGATGTTACTGTAAACCAAAAAAAATGGGGAAAATTAGACAGAAAAACAGCAATATGCTGCAAAATTGAAAAGAAAAACATAACGTCTTCTTGAGGAATGTTCCCTATCCAAGTTCATGACATGAAGTGAAGCAAAGACTTTTCTGAGCTGCCATTTGTACTGGGCCATTCAGCTTAAACACTGTGGAATGCTGGACATATTAGGTGTGCGTCATAAGTAGGGCTGTGGATAAGGGGGTACCACCGGTCTTCCTGTATAGGGCCCAGGCCAGCAGGAGGGTCAGGCAGCAGGTTTGGGGGGAATTACTGGAACCAATCCCCTGTATAGCTATTTCTGCTGCAGCTGAAAGCTGGTTTCTTCTCTGCTCCCTCCCACCGGCTATCTGCAGATAGCCATACAGGGGATTGGTTCCAGTAATTGCCCCCCATCACATCAATCGCCCTCCCTGTGCACCATACAGTTCCCCCTGCTGCCCAGAAGCCCCTGTGTCCCCCCCCCCCCCCAAACTCCTTCAGTGCTGCCGGCTTCCCTCCTCTCTTCCACTGGCAGCTGCAAACACACAATAGTATCCTTCAGGGTGGAGAATGAGGGAAGGGTCCAGTAAATATGTCACATTTACCAGTCCCTTCCTTTCCTGAATGAACACAACAAGCAATCTGTTCCAATCACTCACTGTATTCATTCATAATTGAAGCATAGTAAACTGTGTTTATTTGAGGGGGAGGGGGGAGTCTGTCAGGTTGACTGAGTGGCGCCTCGTGGTTTCTAACAGCAGCCATGGACATAATATCCCTTTTGGTATCCATAACATGATTATGAACAAATTAACAAAGTATTTACTGTTCTCTCCATCACGGTGTACTCCCCCTATCCCACCAGTCACAAACACAGAGATCCCCGCGTGATGGGCCGCTATCATTGTCCCAGACACAGTGCTCCCACCAGAAAGACCCTAGAAAAAGAAGTTTTAGAAATTAATTTTCACTTTAGAATATATGTTCACAAACCGTATTAAGAAAAAAACAAATATACAGAAAACGGTTTACTGTATTCCTTAAAATGTCATTTTTATATATTTTTTTTGTTTATTTTCACATCTAAAATAATTTGAAAGCTATCTTTACAATGCATTGTGATATGACAGCTGAAAACATAAATCAGACTTTGAGTTGAAGTGTCTGCTTTTTAAGAGAACTGCTGGGGAGGAGGAGGCAGGACACTTGCAGCCATGGAGCGCAGAAGGGTTGGGACAGATCATCAAAGTATGTCAATTACTTTAAAATTTTTCTTGAAAGTAAAACTGCTTAGTATCTCTGTTTCGTTTGTATATTTTGCAAACTGCCTAAATCTAACATCCTCAATTGCCCTCCAGCTTATTTAACTAAAATGATTGCTGCTCCATATCAGTTGTGAGTTAATGTTTTCTTGTGCGCTGCCCACAGGTGCAATGTGGTACTTCAACAAAACTATGCTAGGTTTGATCACTGTCAGGTAAAGGAGGAGGTGATGTCACGGTTCCCTCTGACACCAGTTGACATTGGGTATATTGGTGGCAGTGGAAGGAGCAGCAGAGGGAGAAGAGAGAATAAAGAGGGAGAAGAGAAAGTGGATGGGGGATGGTTTTGCACAGATGCTGTCACTTTGTGCTAAACGGCAACACATATACAATACCCTCTATACTGAGAAATGCCTGCACCACTAAATAACATGCAAAAAAATGACAAGTTTACTAGGGATCAAGCACATGGGCGCATTTGCAAGTAAAAATTCCCCTAATAAAATCCAAAAAACAAGCTCAAGGATTGGTTACTTTCTCCTGGATGCAAGTCTGTGTGGAAGATATGTGTTGCCTGGCTGTGCAAGACTATAGGGGGGCCCAAAACTCAGCGACTCTTAAAAAGGTAGTGCTACATTAAGATTAAAACACACATTGAAGTTCAAACGCTCTTATATTTAAAACTAGAAAAAAAAAAAAAAACACAACACTGAAGAAACTTTACAATCTCAAAACAAAAACAAAAAAAAAAATCAGAATCTGTAAAGCTCCCTATACATAGGACTTCATATGTGACTTTACAGCTGGAGTACCTGGCTGAGGACATATGGCAAGTCCCTCCGTGACACTTTCACGCAGTCTTTTCTGGTCGCCAGGAACTTCAATTCTTCTTCACGGAGCCCGATATGAACTTTACCTTCTATGATACCCACTGTTGCTGGTACTGATCCATTCACCCGAACAATTTCTTCCACTTCATTAGCCATTCTATAAGTTGCATGGCAGATGGAAAGGGTGTATAAAACTAGGCATTCTGAATACTGAGTTTAAGAGTAATCTTTCATTTCTTACAACTAAGTTTTGTTCCATGAATTTGCATCCAGTAATAGTAAATAATTTAGATCTATTTATAAAATTTTGATGGACAAATGTACGCTGTATCCGCATTTGTGCAAAAAGTCACAAATAATAACCTTGCAATTGTTTTTAAAATATGTGCAAAATCATATTAAAGTGGTAGTAAAGTCACTTTTTCATTTTTACTTACAGGTAAGCTTATAATAAAGCTTACCTGCAAGTAAATTGAATATTACCATTTAGAAGATATTCTATGGAGCAGCAGTGGGTGACATCACCGGCGCATGTGCTCTGAAGGAACTGCATACCCATGTCGTTCCTTTAGAGTTGTTTGCTGTGGCTGAGACTCCTGCACGACTCTGAAGATGGAAGCCTCTGCAGCAGTGATAGTGCGCCGCTGGAGGACTTGGTTCCCCATATGAAAGAAAAACATATTTGAAATATGTTTTTAAAATATTCTTCCCAAATATATTGACATATATTTGAAATGCTACAATTTTGGCCATTATATTATATATATATATATATATATATATATATATATATATATATATATATAAATTTGTTATTACAAAATATATGAAAAATATTTTTAAAATGCATTTCAAATATACTGTATGTCTTTAAAAATAAAAATCTATATTTTTGGAATGCATTTACAAGTATATATAAAAACATATGTTAAAATCACTTTTATAAAAGTAGAAAAAATCTGAAGAATATATTTTTTAAAATATATTTTTAAAAATATGTCTTTTTTTAATATATTCTTTAGATTTTTTTTTCAGTTCCAACAGTTCCTAGATTCAAAACAAAATACCTGATATTTTGGGGATAAGGCATTCCATGTGTAATAATGGTGCTCTCCAGTGCCACGACAGGCCTCCCCTCTGCCAGCGCTTCTTCCACACTGGGCTGTATTCTGAATGTAGTATCTGCATGTGCATCATAGAATTACTATTAATAAATACTAAATATTCTGTTTGGAAAAATGTTAATGGACTTAAAGCTTGATTATATGTGTGTGTGTTTTGGAAAAAGGTTCACAAAAGAGGAAGGAAAAACTTATCGGACACACTGACACATGAATAAAAACAAAAAAGAATCACGTATATATATATACACACATCATTCTGTATTTCCACGTATATATCCGTGCCGCCTTTTGCAGCCGAGGATGTCAATCACCAGGGGGGGGGGGGGGGGTACCCGAATTTGACAGGTACCCGCTCCCACTTCCGGTCTGATCGCCTAGGCGATCGGAAGGTGTCCTCCCTGTAGTCTTTTGGTACACATGAAAGGTCCCAGAAGACTACGGGGCCATTCATGAAGCGCAGCGCTTCTCACTCATGCGCAATGGGTACTCGGCTGTGAAGCCGCAAGCAGTCACAGCCGGGTGCCCACACTGAAGTTGCCAGCCTCCTGGAATACAGGATGGCCGGGGAAAAGGGCTGCGGGGACACACCACGGGACAGGTAAGTGGCTGTTTTTTTTAAAAGTCAGCAGCTACAGTTTTTGTAGCTGCTGATTTATTTTTTGACAGGGTGAGTGGAACTCCGCTTTAAGCCTGCTGATCACTATGCATGCAAGTAAATGGGGGGGAAGTGCCACAAATTCCCCGCACATGATTGCAGCTCAGTTGTTGGCAAAAACGGGGTTAAAACAGGTGGAGAGGAGAAGTTGCATCACTTCCTCACTGCCTGTCAGTAGCCTCTGGAGTGCAATCCAGAAGCGGATTGCCTTCAGAGACAAGGGAGATTAGACTCATGTCTAAATCTACTCTTAGAGAGGCAGCATGAACTGCTGGTTCTGCATCTCGAGTCCTTTAACAAAATACAACATTTAAGTCCTGATAGTGTTTTGTGCCCTCAAGACACATTGGTTCTTGATCATATGATGAATAAATTAAGCAACACAAACCTGGCAGAGATTCTAATCCTACCAAACTCTATTCAAACATAAAAAAAAAAAGTTTTGGCTATACATATAGTGAGTGTTCATCAATATCCTTAGCATGAGAGTAATACAAAACTCTATATGGAAATCTAAATGTTTGCATGATTGACAAGCTATGACAATCAGAAGCTCGTTCTGTCTGCCTTCAAATTTTAACCAGTTCATCATTTATTTATTTCAGGTATTTATATAGCACCGTCAATTTACACAGTGCTTTACATATATATTGTACATTCACATCAGTTCCTAACCCTCAAGGGGGGTACAATCTAAGCTCCCTAACTCTCATCCTACATACACATACTAGGGACAATTTAGACAGGATCCAATTAATCTACAAGCATGTCTTTGGAATGTGGGAGGAAACTGGAGTACCTGAAGGAAACCCATGAAGGCTCAGGGAGAACATGCAAACTCCAGGCAGGAGGTGCCGTGGTTGGGATTTAAACCAACAACCTGAGTACTGCCAGGCGGAAGTGCTAACCACTGTGCTGCCCATCTGTTAACAACATCATACTGAGATAAAGTCCAATGGTTTGTTGAGATACACATGAACAGGAAGACTCAAGGAAAAGTTTGTTCATTAACAACTTGATGGTCAAGTGTGGGAGAAAATAAAAATGCCCAAATACCAGTGGGTATATATAGTAACTCAAATAAAGTCATACCAGCAGAGCCAGATCATTCACAAGTCAACCCAGTAGGGATCCTAGTGCCCATTATCAATGAAACTCAAAGTGAGGGGGGTGCTGAAATGACTTTATCTAGGGCACCATTCTGCCTTAATCTGTCACTACCTAACAGGGTTCGATCAGTGGTGTATTTAGACTTGTGCTGCCCTAGGCAACACAAAAATCGCCCCCCCCCCCCCCCATGGAGAGACCCTGACACTGACCAATACCTCCTCCCCCACGAAGAGTGCCTGACATTGACCAACAACACCCCAGCCCCCCCCCCCCCAAGAGAGCCTTCCACTACCACTACCACCACCCCCCATACACTGGCAACCCACCCCAGCAAGAGAGAGGACACTCACCTTCACAGTTCCGGACATCCCCAGGAAAAAAAAGAGTCAGGCTCTGCATACACAATCAAGCAGCCCACAGCCTCTCTCAGATCCCACCTGGTCCCCATGCTGTGTGTCTCTTCTTCCATACCTTTTTTCAGGGGGCAGTGCTGCCCTCTGAAAAATGACGCGCCCCCCTGAATGATGCCGCCCTAGGAAGATGCCTTGTTTGCTTGTGGTAAATATGCCCCTGGGTTCGATATGTACCTAAATCTGAACTGCAGGTAAACCACTGAACACACAGTTAATATGCATATATATATTTGAACTGTCTTTCATTCTAAAAAAAAAAAAAAATTTCTATTCAGCCAAATTTCTAATCCAGACAAGCCCGGCAGACTACATAGCCAGACACTGACACTTCACTGTTCTGCAATCACAGCAATAAATTTTTATCAAAGCTGTCATTACCAAAAGAGCAGTGGTTTGCTAGAGAGGTTTTGCTCTCTCCTCCAATCAGCAAGCTCCATTTGCTAAATTGATTGACTACTCTGTCCTCCTTCTCCTGGACCTCTCCGCGGCCTTCGACACAGTTGACCACCCCCTCCTCCTTAATAAACTACTCTCCCTTGGCATCAGAGATACCGCTCTCTCCTGGTTCTCCTCTTACCTATCCCGATGCTCCTTCAGCGTTTCCTACAACGGTGCCACCTCCCCTTCCCTCCCCTTCTCTGTTGGGGTCCCCCAGGGCTCCGTCCTTGGACCCCTTCTCTTCTCCATCTACACCTCCTCCCTTGGCAAACTCATACACTCCCACGGCTTCAACTACCACCTCTACGCCGATGACACTCAAATTTACCTCTCCACCCCTCACCTCACCCCCACATTTCTCCGCCCGCATCACTCACCTCCTAAACGACATCTCAGACTGGATGTCGCTCCATTTCCTCAAGCTTAACTCTCCAAAACCGAGCTTCTCGTCTTTCCCCCTGCCCACGCCCCCCCCCCCCTCATCCTATCCATCACACCAACAACACCACCATCAATCCTGCCCCGCAAGCCAAAGTCCTTGGCGTCATTCTGGACTCAAACCTTTCCTTCCAACCTCATGTCAAATCACTTACAAACACATGCAGGCTCCACCTCCGGAACATCGCCAAGATACGCTCCTTCCTTACCCCAGACACCACTAAACTACTAGTACACTCCCTGATTATCTCATGCCTTGACTACTGCAACTCCCTCCTCACCGGCCTACCCCAGTGCAGGCTCTCCCCGCTTCAGACCATCCTGAACGCAGCGGCTAGACTCATCCACCTCACCACCCCGCTCCACCTCTGCCACCCCCTTCTGCCCATCCCTCCACTGGCTCCCTATTGCCCAAGGCATCAAATTCAAACTACTCACTCTGACCTACAAAGCCATTCACAACACTGCCCCTAACTACCTCACCAACCTGATTCCCAGGTACCACCCTACCCAGACCCTTCGCTCTTTCACAGGACCTCCTATCTTGCTCCTTGGTCTCCTCCTCCCACGCACGACTGCAAGACTTCTCCAGGTCCTCCCCCATCCTTTGGAACTCACTACCCCAATCCATCAGACTGTCACCTTCCCTCCTCACCTTCAGGCGCTCCCTGAAAACCCACCTCTTCAGGGAAGCCTACCCCACCCTCACCTAACAGCCGTTCTCCTTCATTCCTCCTACCACTCCATCCCCCACAGCCATTTCCTCCTGTACCACTACCCCCTCCCTTCTAGATTGTAAGCTCGAAAGAGTAGGGCCCTCTAACCCCTCGTGTGCTGTTTGTAGTTGCTGTACTGTTTCATGTATTGTCCCCCTCCTCTATTGTACAGCACTGAGCAAATCCTTTGGCGCTATATACTGTAAACTCGATGTAATAATAATAATAGAGACTATTCATATAGCAAAATGAATACCCACTTAAGACTGGCCAAAGATGGATGGAAAATTGGCTGGTTCAGCAAGGATGGCTGAATTTCAATCCATCTTGGCTGTTCCAGCTAGGAAGAAGTTGATCTAATGATTGGTTTCTCTCGAACGGGATTTGTTGGAAAACATTCATTCGATCAGAGCATGCAGCCATATGGCTGCAACATTGATCAGTGTATTCTGACAGTGGAGGAGTACCCGCTGTCAGCATACAATAGCACAGTGGGGAGAATTCCTCCATCTACCTCGCTTGTGTGGATGGGGCAATTTGTGTGTGTGTTTTTTTTTCTATCAGCCCGCTGGCTGATCAAAAAAAAAGGATCCATCTATGGCTAGCCTTAACCTCTTCGCGCCGGCACCTCCTGGCCCATTAAGAGTTTCAGAAGCTTTTAGGGTCATGTGACCCGCCGTGATTCACCGTCACATGATCGTAAAAGTTCCCGATCGAAAGGGGAGATCGGGACCTGTCAGTCAAGGTCATATGTGCTGGGAGCGCGCACGCTCTCAGCACATATGTATTTTCTAATTGCATGCAAATATGCGGCCGCTCGACATCAAGGCCCAGACGCCGAATATTTGCATGCGCACAGCGTCAAGGCGTTAAACCAGCCATAGATGGATCAAAATTTGTCCAGTTCAGCAGGAACCTGACAAATTTCAATCCATTTATGGGCAGGAAGGTTGGTTGTACTATAGTCGATCAATCAATTTCAGTACAACCAGCCTGTTTTTTTTTTTTTTTTGCACTGCCGCCAGCTACAGTCAGCCTTAGTTTAAGGAATAAGGTGACATTATATTTACGTCAATCATTAAATATAAATACTTTGCAAGCAGGCCTGTTTAAAACTTTAAGACTGAATATTCAAACTCCTGCATAAGCCAATCATGATTAGTTCTCTTAAGGTGACTTTCTTACTATGACGATGCACCTGTCCTGCAGTCACGGGGACCCCTGCCCGGACCACCGCACCAGACACGCCTGCAGAACATCTTCTTAGAGTGGATGCCAGCATAGCCTGTCACCTGACAGTA